TTTTTTGCAACTTTTAAAAGTCCCGGGTAAATTAGAACCCAGTCTGCGCGCGCCAAAGAAACTGTATCCAGCCTCCTTAAATCAGTGTACAGCTCAAGTTTGGTTGTTCTGGAGCTTACATATAACACGGCTGATCTTAACAAGTTAGAGGAATCAACTGTACTATCTTTGGCAACAAAAGTAATTGTGATATATCTTATATGCGGCCGACTTCTACCAGATGTTTCAGTATAAAACTGAGAATGTGTAAATGTTTTACTGATGGCTAAGACTGCCTGACCATCCTGGAAGAATTCGTTTGAATAGTGGTCCCTTTTAATCAATTAATAGTTCTTACACCCTCTCAAACCGTTATATCTTTATAATAATTCCAAGCAGCATATGGTAGCCTTTCCCTATATCTAGGCAGCAAGGAAAGCCGCAAAACTCCAGAACAAAAACTTATCTTTATAATAAATTTTCTATTTTTTTATTTTTATTTCTAGAGAGGCTGGAAATCAATGGGGCGTTGTCTTGTCTCGTGCTCCAGTTGGTATTTGATATTTATGTTTTTATTTATTTATTTAGTTGTTTATTTACATAGATAGGCTACGAATTCAATGGATGTTAATATTAATTGCTTAACTCGTAAGAAATATGTGTGGGAGTGATCTTGGCAGAAATGAACACTACTTAAGCCGTAGTCATAATAAGGCCGGAAAGAAAAATTCAGGCCTGTACGGGATTCGAACCCATGACCTCTGCGACAAAATATTTGGCAGTTTTGACGAAAGAGAGAAAGAGCACGACACGAGAGAAAGCCAGGCTGTGTCGGCTGTGAGCCGGGCGTGAAGATACAAAGATCGATTGAAACTTTGTACTTGAAATGTTTCGTTATGTGCCAGCCACAATTGGTAGGATTTAGCACTTTATAACGATAGAAGAGGAATAGGAACGAGTTAAATTAGCCGGGAAATTGAGTTTGTAGATGACCCACATTGACATATTGTGACAGACTGGTTCATGTTCAAATGAGCAACTATTTCAAGTGGGGAGTAATTTCCCATTTTTAAAAAACATATTTTTTTCAATTGTCACAGTTGACCTAAGCTCTAGAGCCATCTTTTTCATTTTTCTCTCTACGAATCAAGTCCTTGCCGGGTGAGCCATGAATGCGACCATTGTTGTGATTATTGATAAACCTCATTTAATTGTTAATCAGGAGCCGTTGATTATTTCGATATCTAGAATTAGGAGGTTTCAGGCAGACTTTCTGTCACTGAAACAGTAGGATCGCAAGGTAAACTTTGTTACGTATGATGCACGATCCTCGCAGTAGAGAGCGCTATTTATGCAATAGCGAAAATCAGACCTAAAAAAAATCAGGCCTGTACGGGATTCGAACCACTGACCTCTGCGATACTAGTGCAGCGCTCTACCAATTGAGCTAACAAGCCAACTGGGAGCAGGCTGTTAAGTTGATTCGTAATAAACCCGTGATGATAAATCAGATATGATAAATATATGAAGATCAAATATATGAACTTCATATATTCATCATATCTAAACTTCGTTGTCAATTATTGTCAGGGTTTTAAATTTATGCGAAAGAAATTGTGACAATCATTTTTTTTGTCCCCGCTATGGAGAGGCGAAGAAATATTAAGATGTAAACAAGAATTTCGAAACATTTTCCAGAGTGACGTTTCGTTCTGTCAGTCGCTTTGCCCACGAGACGCGTCTGTCAATAAAACACTTATCTGCATAAATAAAATACGATGATTAATGCAAAACATTGTTTCAGTTTCAGCAACATCTGTTTGGTTTGTAGGGAGGACAAGACAAGCATTTTCAAGCTTGATTTTTCCTTTCTTACATAGCTGTTCAGCATCTTACCATGAATGATAGTTACCCCGACGCTCGGCTCAATAGTACAGCGTCGATCGTTCTATCACTGTGGCTTTCCTTGGGCAGTTTTGTAGCTGTAACTGGAAATGCAGTTGTGTTGTGGTTGTTCTTCAAAAACAAGTCTCTACGAACAGTTTCTAACCGATTTTTAGTCTCCTTGTCAATAGCAGACTTTTTGGTTGGACTTGTGATAGACCCTGTATGGATCGTCATCAGATGTTTTATTCAGCCGCCAATTCACACAGTTTTGGACTACTTTATTTTACTGTTATGGGTTCACACAACCACCGCCACTACTTTCAACATTTGCTGTGTTTCCGTCGACCGGTTTATCGCGATTCGGTTTCCTTTCCGTTATCAGGAGATTGTAACCAAGAAAAGGTGTTACACACTGATTATTTTGGTATGGTTATTTTCAATGGGTCTTCCTTTCTCGACGTTAACGTTGTCGTTACATAAGTTGCAACAAAACTTTTTAATAATGTGGTTTTCTTTAACTTTTATTACGTTTGTTTTTCCTTTATTGATAGTCTCAATTTCGTACATTTATATTTTCAAATTAGCAAAAGAACAATTTAAAAGAATATTAGTAGAGGAAAATCCACGAAACTACGACGAAAATATCAAAGTTCGTACAATGCAAAATTTTAAAGCTTTAAAAACAGTCGGTTTTGTTTTGGGTGCTTGCATAATCACATGGATGCCTAGTTTAGTTCTAATGGTATTTGACTGTTATTATGCCATAGTAGATAACAGGGGTAAAATATTTACATCGGTTCGTGTTGTATGGCCTTGGGTTGAGACACTTGCTTTTACCTCTTCAATTGTCAATCCTTTTATATATTGCTTTCGAAATGAAGGGTTTTATCAAACATTTCGTCGCTACTTTCGTTGGTTTCCCTGTGGAACCACAAAGGAAAGCCTACCAGAAACCGGACTTAAACCAGATCGGCAACTTATGGTAAGAAATGACTTGAGATGCAGAGATATAGCAATTTAAGAAACAGAACTTTGTGGAAACCACAATCGAAGCAAGACTTTGCCTTCTATTTAATCACTTTCACCAGAGTGTGGTGAGCGTCGCACAACAGAGCGAGGCTCCAAATTAAGTGCGCCCAATATCCCACTCATCCCACCCCAGGGGAGGACATCCATCACACAGTAATCTCTTGTGTTGGAAAATTAACGTCTCCTACCCCAACCCTGGAGGAGACGTGACCTCCATTTATTCGTCCCTATTCGGGAAGACTAGAATATCTAACCATTTCTTGATGTTATAGAAAGGTA